TTTTAATTTTTATTCTTTTTTCTTCTTCTTCTTGTTTTTTTTTTTTTTTTTTTTTTTTTTTTTTCCGCATGCCGGTTCTGGCTTACTGGCCATATAAACAGATGGCCATCGTACAGATAGATCCAATTCCGGAGCTGACTGACGGATCATTTGTTTCTGAAGTTTCTGACTGATATCCACGGAATCAAGACGGCACCTCCAAAAGCAAGGAATGCAATAACTTCAGTGTGGTTGAAGAAGGAATAAGACAAAGCATGCCCCTCCGAATCTAACACTGCCCGACGTGAACTGGGGGGCAATCATGCTCTTCCAAATCTAATACTGCTGGACTTAACTGGGGTTTAGGGCTTCTGGGTTAAGTTGACGGTTGAGGGTTAAGGGTTGACGGTTGAGGGTTAAGGGTTGAGGGTTGAGAGTGAAGTGGTTTAGGGTTTAGGTTAAAGTGGTTTAGGGTTGAGGGTTGAGGGTTTAGTGGTTAAGGGGGTTACCGGTGCTGAGGGCTCAGTGGTCAAGCATTAAGGGTTGAGGGATAGGGGTTTTAGGGTCGAGTGCCAGGTTTGGGGCTTTTATTGGTTTCGTTCCTTCTTGCAAGGAAACGAGCAATGTGAATGACAATAAACCACCTTGCAACATTCCATAGAAATCCAGATAACTTGGAGCCCAAACTGAGGGCATACTCACACTAGGACTTTTTTACTTATTTCTGGGACGGAATTTTGGTCAGATACATCCAAATAGGGCCCTAATTAGGGTCAGGTACACTTACGATTGTGTTAGTGTGAGTATGGTCTGAAAGCAGATTGCATTAAGAGTAAAATGAAAGCCCTCCTCTGGGCTCCGACATCACTGTCAACAATGTCGCTCTCCTAACATGGTGTTCGGCGCCCAGACCACAATCGGACAGCTCCTATCGACCTAGACTCCTATCCACAACTGGTCTTCCTTGAAGAACAGCAGCCCAATGCCAAGCGAAGACTCCGAGTGAAACGGCCTGCTTCTCTCACCACGGGGTATGCGCCTCTTGCATCGCCCCTTCTCCCTGTCTTCCTCCGCAATCTTGCCTCCGCCCAAGGACCTCCGCCTTCCTCCTCCGGCTATGGCGCCAACAGCCTGGCTGTGGCTGCTGCGCCCTCGCAGCATCTTCCTTGCGCCCCACCAGCGCCCTTCTTCATTCCTGGCAGCCCGGCTCGCGCCTAGCAAGTGAGTGCTGCGGCACTGCTGCAGCCGTCCAGCCAGCCAGAATGTGTGAAGTGCGTGAGCCTCACTTCCTTTTGTTCTGTCTGGCTGGACGAGGCAGTACCTATAGACTGGTACATTTGGGCCCAATGACCTCCTCCGCGCAAGCACGGAGTCGAACTGGGGACCTCGGCCTCAAAAGCCAAGTCTCTTAACCCCTACAACCAGGACACAATGTTAGTGTCCGACTCCACACACACCACACACAACACCACATGGGCGCACCGCACAGACGCGAGAATTCTTGCACACTTTGCTCCAATCAGCACGTGACACCCACTGTTACATAGCCTGCTCACACGCATGGGTTTTAACTTGCCCCAGCCTAGGCGAGGCAGGCCTAGGCCGGGGGCCCTCTGTCCCAGTAGTTGCACCCCGGGCCCTTCCAGAACGTGCCTTGGGCTCAACTGTAAGTGCCCTGGGCCACAACATCTTTGCTGGGCCCCAGCATCTTCAACTGACCAGGCTACGGGTTGGTTGGATATGCTACGTGCAGCTACTAACCCACAGGCCCCTCAGATTTGGCCCCAATGAAATTTTCAGCCCTGCCTTCAGTTAGGGTGGGTGCAGGGCATTTTCCAGCATGCCAAGGCCCCCCTGATTTCCTCGCACTTCTCTTTTTCTTTTTTCTTTTTTTTTTCCCTGGAGTAATTTGACTCTCCCCAGGCCTTGCACTCCATTACAGTTACACTGTATGCACTGAACGGGGTGGAGAAACTTTGTTGCCGCTGGTACTGGAGGGGATATCAATGGGACTTCGACGCAGAAGTCCAAACAAAACCGTCATCCCATGTCCCTCACCATAACGTTAGGCATGATGCATGACTGTACCAGGATGTTGTGAACGGTACTGGCATACTGTCATAGGTAGTTCAAAGCTTGGGACAGAGATGTCTCAGACACTGACAGGATGTCCCAATGGTGGGACCACCTACCTCGTGTAGATCCAGCACCCATGCTGACTTCTGAAGTGAGCAACGTGGCAGGAGTGAATCTTCCACGTCTCAGACACTGACAGGATGTCCCAGTTTTGGAACCACCTACCTACCTCAGGTAGATTCGGCACCCATGCTGACTTCTGAAGTGAGCAAGGTGGCAGGAGTGAATCTTCCATGTCTCAGACACTGACAGGCTGTCCCAGTTTTTGCACCGCCTACCTCAGGTAGATCCGGCACCCATGCTGACTTTTGAAGTGAGCAAGGAGGCAGGAGTGAATCTTCCTCTCTCCCTGACTCTCCCCTTTTCTTTTCAGATTTAAGTTGTGCTTTACCATGGGTGTGCGGCCCTATGCATAGCTCCTTTCTTTTCAGATTTAAGTTATGCTTTACCATGGTTGTGCGGCCCTATGCACAGCTCGCAGGCTATGGTGTTTATGTTCAGATGTTTCTGTCTTCGTCTGTAGCATAAGGAGTATCCGTGAGTCAGAGACACTGGGGGAACAAAATGGGCTGTCTGCAGGCGCTTGTGACTCAACATGTGGCTTTTCATTTTGTTTTCTCGTTTTCCCTTTTCTTTTGCATTGCTGTTGTGGAATATGACAGGACAACATCCTGAGTTTGTGTACACTCAAACACTTCCACTACCACCGCCACTTCCACTACCACTACCACTACCCACTAAAACTACCTCTAGCACTACCACTGCCACTAGCACTACCACTTCCGCTAACACTACCACGGCCGCACACACACACACACACACACACACACACACACACAC